TCTTAAGGCAGTATAATATTTGGGAAATGTACAGATGAAACTAGAAACAGAAAGTGGATAATGTTTTATAACAAAAACTCTAAATTCTGTAAAACACAAAATCTAACAGAATCTTGTCTAATTAATAATCGATTCTTAAATTGTTGTCTTAAGAATGGAACTATTTTTCGAATCCTCATCGTAAATAATTTTTACCACATTGTAAGAGTTTAATCATTTTTTTCCTCTTATCAGATGAATGGAAAAGTTATAAAATAGAGAGAAAAACTGATTTACTCAATGTCACAAAGTAAATTAGTGATGGAAAAAGGACTAAAACCCAAATCTATCCTAAAATAATAAGGCTCCTGAATGTGTTGTTCTGCTTGACTTTTAAATGCTTACCTATGAGATTTTTAATACCACCTAGGGGAATTTAATACTCTACTTAAGGAAATATCCCCCAAATACAGTTAAGCATCCTAAGTGAATTACAAAGATGATTTTTGCTAATTCTCCCCTCAAAAACATGTCTATCTTCCAGTCTCTTACTCTACAGGGCGACTTACATGTTGGAGTCACAATGACATCTCTTGTTCTAATGAAAATTAACTCCTTCTGTGCCTGAGGGCTACAGAGGTCTACAATTTGCTCATAAATCCAGCTCTGGAAAGAAGACAGGCCTTGTCTCCAAGTTACACCTCCCTCCATGGTGCACCAGAAAACATGGAATTCGTTTGGTTAAAATGCTGCAAATTTTAAAGGTGTAATGGAAATTGTACTTAATCTGAGGATATAAATACTTAAAAAAGTAAAAAAAACAGCTAAAATCATTATTCCCAATGACAAGCAGAAGGGCAATTTATAGTTAAGATGAGCTAGTCCAAAGCACCCTGGGGTTCCTGGTTCTTACATATTCGCCTGCACCAAATGTCATGCTTCACTGTCCTGCTTCACATATAAAACTCAGGCAACTGCGGCACTGTGTGATATCCATGTGTGCACTTAGAGTGATCCCGTGGGACTGACCCCATGACTGACAGCTCTTCTCCAGGTGTGCACGGGTCACTGTAAAATGATGGGGAGGACTGAGTTTCTTCTGGAGCCTTCACCTCACTCTGGCACTATCATCAGTTTCCCGGCATCACTTGTACTTCATCACATAAATAAAATTGGCAAATCCATTGAGCTGCCTCCTACAGCACTGTTAATGAATTTTCCAGGCTGCTTCAACAGAAACAAAAAATCCAGTTTGTCAAATGACTCCATAAAACATGATGGATGCATTTAAGTATCAACATTTGTTTCTTTTTCCTGTAGATAATTTTCTCCCACCCTCCCTTTTTGGGAAAAGAGTATATTTTGATTTACCTTTGCACACAAAAGGGCACTCAAACGGGGAAAGAGAAAACCAATTATAAGAATGGGGTCTTGAAAATGTTCTAAAATAATCTGGTAGACTGAAACTAATTGTTGTTGTTGTTAGGGGTCGTCCAGTCAGTTCCGATTCATAGAGACCCGATGTACAACAGAACAACACTGCTCGGTCCTGCACCATCTTCACACGTGTAGCTGTGTTTGAGCCCACTGTTGCAGCCACTATGTCAATCCATCTTGTTGAGGGTCTTCTTCTTTTCATTGACCCTCTACTTTACCAAGCACGATGTGCTTCTCCAGGGACTGGTCCCTCTTGATGAAATGTCCAAACTATGTGAGATGAAGTCTCATCATCCTTGCTTCTAAACAGCGTTCTGGTTCTAGTTCTACCAAGACAGATTTGTTCGTTCTTCTGGCAGTCCATGGTATATTCAATATTCCTCACCAACACCATAATTCAAAGGCATCAATTCTTTGGTCTTCCTTATTCATTGTCCAGCTTTTGCATGCATATGAGGCATATGGAAATACCATGGCTTGGGTCAAGTGCACCTTAGTCCCCAAAATCACATCTTTGCTTTTCAACACTTTAAAGAGGTCTTTTGCAGCAGATCTGCCCGATGCAATGCGTCTTTTGATTTCTTGACTGCTGCTTCCACAGGCAGTGACTGTGGATCCAAGTGAAATGAAATCCTTGACAACTTCAGTATTTTCTCCCTTTATCATGATGCTGCTTATTTGTCCAGTTGTGAGGATTTTTGTTTTGTGTTGAGGTGTAATCCATACTGAAGGCTGTAGTTTTTGACCTTCATCAGTAAATGCTTCAAGTCCTCTTTACCTTCAGCAAGCAAGATTGTGTCATCTGCATATCGCAGGTTGTTAACGAATCTTCCTCCAATCCTGATGCTGTGCTCTTCTTCATATAATCTAGATTCTTGGAGTATTTACTCAACATACAGACAACAAGTATGGTGAAAGGATACAACCCTGACATACATCTTTTCTGATTTTAAACTGTGCAGTATCCCCCTGTTCTGTTCGAACGACTACCTCTTGGTCAATGTAGAGGTTCCTCATAAGCATGATTGTTTTGGAATTCCCATTTTTTGCAATGTTATCCATAATTTGTTATGATTCATACAGTCGAATGTCTTTGCATAGTCAATAAAACACAGGTAAACATCTTTCTGGTATTCTCTGCTTTCAGCCAAGATCCATCTGACATTAACAATATCCTGCATTCCACATCCTCTTCTGAATCAGGCTTGAATTCCTGGCAGAAACCTGTCGATGCACCTCTGCAACAGTTTTTGAATTATCTTCTGCAAAATGTGGACAAGGACTATTATCTCCAGTCCTCGTATGTGATATTAGTGATCTTGTTCAATAATTTCCACATTCTGTTGGATCACCTTTCTTTGGAATTGGCATAAATATGGATCTCTTCCAGTCAGTTCACCAGGTCCTCCAAATTTGTTGGCATACAAGAGTGAGCACTTCCAGCATTGCATCCATTTGTTGAAACATCTCTATTGGTATGCTGTCAATTCCTCAAGCCTTGATTTTCGTCAATGCCTTCAGTGCAGCTGGAACTTCTTTCTTCAGTACCATCACTTCTTGATCATATGCTACCTCCTGAAATGGTTGAACACTGACCAATTCTTTTGGGTACAGTGACTCTCTGTATTCCTTTCATTTTCTTTTGATGCTTCCTGTGTTGTTCAATATTTTGCCCATAGAATCCTTCAATATTGCAACTCAAGGCTTGTATTTTTTCTTCAGTACTTTCAGCTTGAGAAATGCTGAGCATGTTCTTCCCTTTTGCTTTTCTAACTCCAGGTCTTTGCACATGTCATTATAACAAGGGGTAATCAAACTTATTAGGATTGCCAAACAACACGTTTTATATCCTTAAGAACCAAGGCTTTTCAAATCTCTGTAAGATGGTACAGTCCTCCTTATATAATTTCAAAGCACCCTAAATTCTTCCTTTGTAGTACTTACCACAAACATGAATATTATTATGAATTGTGCATTTTGTGGTTAATGTCTGTATCCTCCATTAAAATATAAGCTCCACGTGGACAAAGACTGTTATTTCCATTGCTTTGCCTGCACAGTACCTTGAATGTGGTAGAAAATAAATAGTGAATGAATGCTAGACAGAGCAAGTAAATCTGTGAATGAAGAAACGATGTTAATTTGGAGGGTCCAGCATGCAAAAGACTGAAATAAGCATTTAGATTCTCTGAAATTTATTCTTAGAGTGCCCTGATGAATTTATTATTGAACTACAAAAATGGCATGCTGACAACAATCCTCAAGTTAATTATTCTTTAGATAAGTTCTGGATTCATAAAACCAGTTCTCTTGGTGGCAATTTTCCACATTTTACAATGTCTGTGGGTATTTGTTTAACTTAACCCTTGCATGTAAAACATCAATGTGTGTGTATTTGGATAAGCAGATGAGGCAAGCAGATGCAATTATTCCTAAACTCCGCTACTCGAAATCACAATATTTTATTTCAAAAGTCCCAGAAACATAAACCAGAAAATCCCACTGAGCAAACAGTGTCAGAAACTGCCACAGCAATTCACTCTGTTTTCTTGATATTTCTCTCTTAACCACTGATAAAACTCTTTGAAGTGAAAGAGTAAATATTATCATTTGATAGTACTTGGACCCAACAGTGCAAATACAATTGCATTGTGTTACACTCTGGGAGCTCCTGGGCCAGTCGCACAACGCCTGCAGGGTTGCTATGCAGGAACCAATGTGCTTAGTGCTCCAGCAGGCCAGGCGGTAGCCCTGTTCCTCAGAGCTATCCGCCACTTAATCTTCCTCAGATAGACACACAGAATGTTAAGGGGGAAAAAATGCTGGCTTTCAAATATGTGTTTCTGTAATCCTGGGAAGAAACGACCACAAACAGGCAACGGGAAAACTCCTAAATCTCAGCTTGCTTCCACTGCTTCCATCGACGTTTTCGTAAACGATCACAGGTGGGGGTGGGGAGAAAAACCAAATAAGAGTCCTGCAGTCCTGGGGAGCGGGGAAGCAGAGAAAGAGAAGCGCCCCCAGAGCTGGTATCAGCATGTTCCCGAGCCTGCCACGCTGCAAAGGTCTGGGAACACGCAGGAGGAGGGTTTTCAGGGATGGCAGCACAGCACAGGGAGAACAGAGTGGGCGTGCGGGTGCAGGGAGCACAGAAAGGGACTCCAAAGGGTGGGCTAGCAGGACAATCAACCTGGGGGTATCTTCGGTGGGCGCTGAGGCCTGAGACAGCGGGTGCTCCATCCATGCTCTGAGGCAGCTCGCTGCCCCAGGGCGGCCTGGCCGAGAGGCACGCGCGGGGGGGCCCTCGGGGCCGGCTACCGGCCGCGGCGTGCCAGCGCCTCCTCGGGTGCGGAG